ACGGCCACTTGGGAAGACAGTTTGGCAGGTTCTTACAAAAGTAAATGTACCCTTACCATAAGATCCAGCAATCACTCTACTTAGTCTGTACCCAAAGGAGTTGAAAATTTATGTCCACACAAAAACCTGCACACAGATATTTATAGCGGCTTTCTAATTAATTGCCAAAACTTGGAAATGAACAAAATGTTCTTCAGTAGGTGAACGGATAAAGTGCGGTACATCCAGACCATAGAATACTATTCAGTGCTAAAAGGAAATGAGTTCTTGAACCATGAAAAGACACAAAGGAAGCTTAAAATGTATCTTACTAAGTAAAAGAAGCTAACGTGAAAAGGCTACATACTGTCTGATTCTAACTACAGCTGATCCACGAACAGCACGGTTTGAAATGTACAAAATGTGTTAACTGACTGTTTATGTTATTGGTAGGCTTCTAGTCAACAATAGGTAACTAGCAGTTATGTCTTGAGCCTGTCAAAAGTTGTGTGTGGATTTTCAACTGCACAGGGGGGGTCAGCATTCCTAATCCATGTTGTTGTTCAGGGTCAACTGCACACATTTTAGAAAAGGCAAAACTATGGAGATAGTAATAAGATCAATGGTTGCCAGGGCTGGCAGATCGGAGGATGAGTAAGAGGAGCACAGAGGAATTTTAGGTCAGTGAAACTATTCTTTATGATCCTATAATGGTGATACATGTCATTATACATTTGACCAAATCCACAGAATGTCCAATACCAAGAGTGAAACTAAAGAAAACTATGGGCTGTGGATGATAATGTGTCGATGCAAGTGCATCAACTGTTAACAAATGTCCCACTCGAGGGGGATGGTGATAACAAGGGAGGCTGTGTATATGCGGGGGCAAGAGGGACATGGGACATCTTTGTATTTTCCGTTTAATTGTGCTATGAACCTAAAGCTGCTCTAACAATAAAGTCTATTTAAAAAGGCAGTTAGTGGCTCCCTCTCCTTTTTTATTGCTGATTTTAGAGAGAAGAAAAGGGAGGAGGGAGACAGCGAGAGAGGGAGGGATGGAAAGGGAGAGAATGAGAGAGAGAGAGAAAAACATCGATTTGTTGTTCCACTTCTTGATGCATTCACTGGTTGATTCTTGTATGTGTCCTGACCAGGGATCAAACCTGCAACCGTGGCTTTTTGGGACAACCATCTAACCAACTGGGCTACACAGCCAGGGCCAGTGGCTCCCTCTCTTTACTTCCAAATCCATTTGACCAGATCCATGGTTTATCACACGTAGCTGCTGCTGAGCATGACTGTCCCCAGTGGACTCTAAGCTCTGTCAGGGCAGGAAGCGCTGGCCCGCTTTGTTCCTCTGACATCTGGGGTGGCCCTGAACACATAACAGGAAATATACAATGTATTGTTTTTACTGTTGCCAAGTAAATAAAAGGCTCAGTTGAGAAAAGTGAAAGATTCCTCTTGCATTTTAAAAGCAGACTTAATTGAGACGACTGGGCAAAGACCTGAAGTGTATCGCATCTTCCGCAAACTACTCGCTTATCCTTGCTGAGGCCAAGGCGCCATAGGATGATGCAGTCATAGGGGACCGTAATGTGCTGCCATTGTGGAAATCGATTTTTACTTCTTATGTTGCCACGATGTCCCTCTAAAATTTCCTCTGGATTTATTGTGCCTTCTTGTTACATTCTGGAGCAGTTATAATAATAACATAAAAGTCCCACAGAAATAAGATAGGCAGGAAACACTTGACCAAAGTGAGTAACAGTCCTTCACCATTTTAAAATAAAAGGAAAAAATACCAAATGGGGTGAAGTCGCATTATGGACTAAGGGCCTGTAAACCTTTGTTTGAAAGCAAGGCACGGGAAGAAGCTTTGACAAGAGCTTTTGCACCATGCCAATAAATAAACCGCTTTCAAATAATTTGTGTGTGTTTTGTCCAAGTCAAGCTGCCATGTTTCAAACAAAAATTAAAAGCACCATTCAGTTACAACCCTTAAAATATGAGCTTTCTAATGGAAATGGTAAAACAATCTCAGCGAAGGAAATGTTGCTAGGTACTGACAGTAAAGGAGAGTCTACGGTAAGTAGTTCATGCGCCAGTTCCAGCGCTCTTGTTGACAGACCGTACTTAAGATTCCACTCTCAATAATATAACTGTGTGGAACGACTGTCACTTTTCACAGGACTTTTGATGTTAACATCTCCTGGTGTTCTGGCTTTGGTCCAAATTGAATAAATACATTTGCCCTCTGGATCCCACAGGTTTTCAATTCATTTTTATAGAAAGTCACCCTTGAACAGCAAGTCAGAAGAGAGCAATTTCTCTCCAACTTCTAAAGGGAGAAGTGATTTTTATGCATGTTAAATGAATTTACATTTATGGAAGTTTCCCCTGTAATTGTTCGCCTAATGACTATAGGAACATTCTTGTTCTCTAACTGTTCCCGGGGGACTACAACCTGTGTTCAATTCTCTTTTATTTAGATGCCATCTGACTGATGTGTTCAAGGGTGCCCAGGACAGGGACTCACAAACCTGGCTCTATGTCAGAATTGTCTGGGGGACTTCCTAAAAAGATGAACTTCCTAAAGTCTACCTAATACCTGAATTAGAACCTCTGGGTGTAGGATCCACGAACTTAGATTTTTATATGCCCCCAGGTGACTCTGGAAAGAGAGCTTTTCATATGTTGCTTGGTAGGACCACAGGTAAGCATGGCCCAGCGATTCAGTTTATATCCTACTACTAACAAAGACCCCAACACCACTAAGCATTACTGAATGATCTGAAAACGCCCTGAACAAGGAAATTTCAGCTAATTCACTCATTCCTATTTAGGAATAATAAATAAGCAGAAGTAAGCTCAAAGAGAAGATAGCTTCAATAATTAAAATTCCAGGAATAAAACAAAAAGCTCTGGAACATTTTGTGGAGTTCCTTCTATCAGACATACTTTCTGTACCCTTTTTTTTGCTGTATTTTCTTTAGCCTTTAAAAAAAAAGATTTTATTTATTTATTTTTAGAGAGAGGGGAAGGGAGGGAGGAAGACAGGGAGAGAAACATCTATGTATGGTTGCTTCTGGTGCGCTCCCAGCTAGGGACCTGGCCTGCAACCCAGGTATGTCCCTGGACGGGGAATCAAACCAGCGACCCTTTGGTTCGTAGGCCAGCACTCAATCCACGGAGCCACACCAGCCAGGGCTTCTTTAAGCCTTCTGACACATGAAGAACCCATCAATAATTCACTTAGTGCCATTTTGACCCTGAACTCCTGCATAGTGTATTTATCAGAAGCAAACAACAAAAAAAGTGTCCCTGTCCTCCAACGTGTGAGATGGAACTACAGTAAATCACGTGAGTGCACAGATTCCATCAACACCTCTCCCCTTTGGCCAAGCAAGAAGCTTCCAAGTGGCTTCTCTCTCCCCTCTTATTTTCTGGGAGAGAAACGTACACTCCTTAATGTTCTCTAAAAAGCCAAGGCAAGTCTCCAGTGACTTTCCAGATCACTCCCACATGGCTCCAAGAGTCACTAGACTTTTGAAAATTGCTGATCATAAGACTGATTCAGACCGTCAGATAAGAATTTTGGAGATGTCTGGAAGAGGAGTCTGGCCTCCCAGAGTCTAAGAACATCTAGGGAACAACCTGGGGCAGCCAGATTCAGAGAGAAGCAAAGGGGGAACAAATTCTACTATACGGATACCCAGAAGGAGGTAACAAACCTCTCAGAAATAGACAATGTGTTCATCAGAGAATCTGCGCTTAATACTCTCAACTCATAATGCCTTAAGGAAATGTCCTTGGGGGAAAGAGAAACAGCTATTAGTAATACTGCACATAAACATGGGCTAGACACCAGCCATGAATGGAAGTTTGAAAACTTAGTTATTAATGAACAGAAGGAATTTTTTCTCTATATACATTTTACTCACTCACTGAAAATATGTTGTGGAGATGGCCCAAGTTCTTGTTGAACATCTCAGGAAAAGACACTAATATCATAACCAACTCCTTCATCAGTCACAAAGCATTTTATCTTCAAGGACAGCAAAACCAAGTAAGTCAAGGCATTTAAAAAAATAATTTCTAGCCCATCTGGTACATGGGAAAACGGAAGTCAACTATGACTCGAGCCACAAACAGTTAAAACCAAATCGAGAGCAGCAGGGGAGTCTTCTGTAAGCAAATCCAGCGGTACTTTTAGGTTTCTACAAGCTCTCGAGGTTGCCTCCAGCCCTAATACTGACCAGCAAAATGTTGAATTCATGTTCACTGACAAACAACATAAACACTCTGTAGGTAACTACTAAGAAAAACGTGTAAATTTGCCTTTTTTATTTTTTACAGGTACTAGAAAAGTTGTCAAAGTGATTTTCAGCTAGGAAGGAAAAAAACATGCACTTGTCATGACATTTTCAAATACTTTAAGTTATGTAACAAAGCTTTTCCCAGACCCATTAAGCCCCACAGTGCCTGCAAGTCTTGTGTGAAAGTTCCAGGCAGCGGCTGATCCCCTGGGCCGAGGCACCGATATGCTCTCATAGGACGGAATCAATGAAAGGACTCCATCCCATCCCTCTCTTTCAAAGTGAACCTAGGCTTTTAGTGAACAGCAGAGACATGCTCCAGGTCTATTTTTTTGTGGTAATATCTAGTTTTTGCAGGTCCAATGATCATGCTGCCTATGCTTACTTTATTACAATTACTAAACTCTATAGAAAATAGCATTTTCAAAATACAGCATTTAAAGAATCCTTTTTGTGCGGTTCCTCCCCCCAAGCCCTGCTTTACTAGAGAACAATGTGAGACCGGCTGTGGGGGCCAAAGCCGGGAATTCCTGCGCCGCCGCCCCTCATGCAGGGGATGCCTGTGCTCAGAACGGCCCCCAAGGCCTGCTTCTGAGACAGCAGTGTGATGCTGTGTGAACAGCCTGACACAGTAGGTCTGGCTTTTATGATGCAAATTTCCACTTTAAACTCAAAGGTAATTACAGTATTTTAACGTACCTTTCTCATGATCGGTAGTAAGTTTCTCCAGTGCACATTCCACATCAAAAATGTACCGGTAAAAGCACAGCTGGGTGTACAGGGACTTGTCAGAATA